GTGTCAATCAGGTGTGGAATAGGGGAAAAAATCTTCTAGACACAAGAGCTTCCAACGATTCAGGGCTTCAATAACCTCGCTAGCGTGCAGAATTTCACAGACCATGTCCTACGGGCAGAAGAGCAGGAACACGTCTCAACATACCCATTCTTTGCATTTCCTGTCACCCCTACTGCAGACACCAGGCCTGCTCGTGTCTGAACGGGGTTCCTAGAAGGGTAAGCTGCTATCGTGCCCTCAACATGAAGGCTCAGTGGTCTGGTAGGAGAGTGTGTTAGAACTGCTACACCAAGGTTAACATACGAAGGAAGCCAGAGGGACCAGAAAGACTGGAAGCCCCTCCTCGTCTGGGTTTCATCTAACAAAGAGAACATGTGAGAAAAACCAAAGCCTGTGACATACAAATGTGGGAGGGGGTGTTATGAAACCCAGGGGCCTGGACCTTACGGCCCAGCTCTGTGGGGCTTTCCCCCAGCTCGGCAGCCCGCTTGCTGTCTTTGGAATGCTTTGGACACTCTCACTTTCTCTGACCTCCCCTGTGCCCTGCTGCCGTGCAAAGCCGATGCTGAACATGGTGGCTCTTAAAAACGATCTTAAAAAGGCAATGATTTCTCTCTTCTCTTCTACCATCCTCCTCCCAGAAGCCCCTGAGATTCACCTCTTGCCTGCCCAGTGGTTTTCTCTCAAACTCTAATAAAAACATCCTTGAGCTTCCTTCTGAGTCTGTTTTTTTTAAATGCACACACACACACACACACACACACACATATATAGTGTGTGTGCACACATGTGTGTAAATGTGTATCACGGTACAGGTGTGGAGGTCAGAGGACAACTTCCAGGAGTCAGTTCTTTGCTTCCCCCATGCGGGTTCCAGGGATCAAACTGAGACTGTCAGGTGGTGGCAAGCGTCTTTAACTGCTAAGCCATAGTGCTAGCCCGAGCCCATTTTAAAATTCTTTTATTAATGCGGCTAAGAACCCACAAAAGGGAACCCTGAATTCCCCTGTAGCAGTGAGAAGTGTCATTTCACTAGTGACAGGTGCACCCTCAGTCACCTCTTTAGTACTCAGTGGGCTGGAGGCTACTGGAATAAACTGATAAAGCATTTATGTGGCCGGGGCTATTACTTGGGAGGAAACTTCACAGTGCAGTACAGCTCAGCTTCTTTGGAGACTCTGGAGGTTTTGATTAGTATATTAACATATGCTCCCATGCTGGCAACATCACCCCCTTGTACTATTAGCATGCATGCAAAAATGAAAATTAATTTTGATTGTTCCGTGAATAGACTATAATTGTGAACAGAGTCTATTGTAAACGATCGAATCAAACGTTTTTCTAAAAACAAACCAACAGAACTGACTCAAAAATTGTGTCCATGGGGTTAGTGTCGGCATCACTCTTGAAGGCAATTATGTCACAGCTTATAGATTATTCCTAAAACACACAGAGAAATCTACCCCTTAATCCTGGAAAAGACTCCGTTCTCTCAAGAATGCCTATGAAAGTTTTCCTGTGTTGTTGTTTTCTATCCTGTGCCAATGTGTTAGAGTCTCTGATGGTGCAGGGAAACCTTGGTACTAGAGAACGAGGAGATGCTTGCTTTGGTATTCTGCTTAACGACAAGGAGTAGCTGCTTTCTGGCGAAGATCCTTAGAAAGCAACATCCAGATCTAATTCTAACGCATTCAGCTACTCTCGCTGATTTCAGCATGGAAGAGGCTGAAGCTGCAGTACCCTCCGGTGAGTCCCTCCCTCACAGAAAACTAAAGCTGTCTTGTTTTCTGAGCCTTGATCTCTGAAGAAGGGAAGTGGATGTGAGAATAGGATGGGGAGTGTGAAGGGCTGGGGTGTGGAGTTGGAAGGTTAGCCAACCCATGGCCTGGTTTTCTCCGTTCAGGTACCTTCAGGAGAATGCCAGCATCTGGAACTTCTAAGGAACAGGAGGGCCAATAAGCAGAGCCCCTGAGTTCTTTCTACTGTGTGTCATTTTATCTGCATATTATCTTGCTTGTTGGTCTCTTCTGGGGAAATCCAACAGGTGCTGCAATTGTGTCAGCTGAACTCACGGGGTTCATGGATCTTGATTAAATTCTACGTCTGCATGATCTCAGATCATATTTAGGTGCTGTAGGTTCGTGAGGATAGCAGAGGTGAATTCATCCTTAGTTTCTTCTCCCTTACACCTGTTTTTCCTTTCTACAGTAAACTTTAGTTTTACTGTTTTCCCCCATAGCATTTGAGCCAAAAGCCTTTGAAGCATTGCCATGGCCTGAACAGCCTAAGTAAAACAAAGACTTGATTTCCAAGAAGGTTTGGAAAGTCTAGCCTGAGGAGGAGGGGATGGGTTAGTATGTGTCATCCTTGAATTCCAATGACTTTGTTTAATCTTCATTCTGGTCATACCATTTCTTTAAGCCAAATTTCCATGTGTATGGGTGTGCATTCACACAAGAAGCCTTAATAGCTTAGGGGGGGGGCATACAATCATTTAGAACACTGGCTTCTGCGCTTATCCCCCACCCTCACACACACTTATACTTCCTGTCAATGAAACTGAAAATTATCCATCGGTATCTGTCCTTGGATCCTTAGGTATGGCCTGTCCCAGGGATAAAGTCTAAAGACAGCCAAAGATCGGAAGAAAACATGCTACCAGTCCCAGTGGGAATCTGCTGGCTGGGCTTCCAGGCCAGTTTTGTAGAAACGAGACAAGGTAAAAAGCGAGATGACCAGTGTTGGGTGGACTAAGCCGTGCTTCCCACTGGACTACAGGTGGGTCGCTCCCTGACCTCTTCCGGGACTTACCGGCATTGTAATGCCTGCTCCTCTCAGCAGTACAGTGACGGGGGCGGAGGTGGGTCTTTCTTCCCTGGCTGGTTTCTCTCATGCGGTCACCTCCACCAAGCAAGAAGACCCATTAAGAGCAAGAGTCAGGCTCACAGCTCCATGACACTGCTCCAGGCTGTGTCGGCCCAGGAACCTCCCCGGGAAATGGAGCATCCTCACCACATACCTCCTTTCACCCTAGCAAGGCAACTTCCGCCACACAGTGTGGAGTTTGGTAGAGACTGTGACTGTTAACGGCAAACTCCTGCGATAGTTTCCCTCAGGGGCATTTTTGCTATGTCAGGGATTCCATTCCTGTGGTTGAGCCTCTGCCCTCGCTGTGTCTGGGGGTGACATAAAAGACAGCAGGATGGGAGAGTCATGCCAGATGCCCCCGCACCCCGGGAAGCTTCAGCTTCCCTGTCAAGAACCAGCCTTCTTAAAAGGAAGAGTGTGCGCTGCTATTTAGTTGCTTTTAAGACTGCGTTAGAATATAACCTAAAATGCTGTTTTATTCCTTTTTAAATGGACAGTTTGGCGATATTAAGAACATAGACATTATTGTGCAACTAACCACCACCATCAACTACCAAAACGTCAACTTTCCCAGCCCACACTGGACCCACTAAACCACAAACGCCACAACTCTGCCCCACTGTTGACAGCAAGCAGTCTACTTCTGGACTGTGTGTTTGACGGCTCCGGGCACCTCATATAAGCGCCAACGCTGAACACGTCCAGCTGACTTCACTTAGCATAACACAGTTGGGTGGCGATTACTTTATTAACAGTGACTGTTCTCAATTCTTAAGTGTTCTAATTAAAAGAGTTGCAAATCCCAAGTGCTACTTTGAGTGACCACACTTGCCACACCCAAATAAAATGTTAGAAATCATAGTGTATTACCACACACAGATTTAAAACTTCCAGAAATTCTTCAGACAGTTCCTGGACAGGACAGTAGCACTATTACAATTTTATATCCGCAGTTATTTAATGAAATAAAAGAAAAACACTTAATAATTCTACAGTGAAAACTTAGAAACATACAACACGTGTACAGGCATGTGTATAGATCTGTATGTATACTTAACTGTATCCAAGTGAGCATTTGCTTAGCCAAACTTAATTTTTTTTTTTTAAATCAGTGTTGGGTGAACTGTCCTTGTCTTTGGCAGGTAAGCAGTTATCCTTTTGGTAGCTAACACAGTAAGGAGATGACCATAAAATCTGCCAGTACTGAAGTCTCGGAGACCCATAACAGCTGGGCCCTGCTGATGGGTTATTTACTGGAGGTGTGCCTCCCTTCATGTGTCCCTTGTAAATGCAGCTACATGTCAGCGTAGCAGGGAGGGGAGCAACAGATTCTTGAACCCTGGGAGAAGGACTTTCCCTTTGGACCTACCAAACACGGCAAACACACCTGACAAGGGACTGTGGCCCTTGCTAACAGCCACACTATTATTCTGACCTTCTAAAGCCCAAGGACAAACAATGGTCAGAACTATAGGAAGGGAGCTGGTGAGTGGTCAGGCTGAACTTTCCAGCTGAAGCTGCCGTGCAAGCCCTAAAGTTGTTTGCTGAGACACGCGTCCATGCACTAAGCACAGGTTCTACTTGTTTGTTTGTTTGATTGATTTTGTTTTTCGAGAACAGGGTTTTTCTGTGTAGCCCAGGCTGTCCTGGAACTTGCTTTGTAGACCAGGCTGGCCCCAACTAATGGACATCCCCCTGCCTCTGAGTGCCTGGATTAAAGGTGTATGCCATCCCCTGCCCAGCCAGATTCTACATTTTAATGCATTTAATATTAAAATGTATTGTTTCTTAACATCACTATCCACCCCTCTCACACACAAAGCAGTGATTCTCAAAGCGAGGGCCTTGGAGCAACTGTACCAACATCACTTGGAAACTGTTAGCAAAGCCGACTGCTGGCTGGCACCAGACCTACTGGTTCAGACCTGCTGGTCATGAAAGCGAACACTTGAGAACCACCAGGCTAAGGAAGCAGGACTCTAGGGAATCCAGCCCTTGTTTCCTGCTTCATTTGCAATTCTCACGATGCTTTGTTAAAAGAAAGGCAATTTTTGTGTGCGTGGGTTCCCGGTGTCGTCACCTCATACTTACCCCTGTGTAGGTGAGAAAAAGCAATCTTAGGAAAAACTTACATATAATTTCCCCAGGTCCTGTCCTGGCTTCGAGTCTTAGGATGCCGGGAACGGGGCAGAGGCAGAGATGTGAAGGCTACAGCGATCCATTCAGACATGGACCCCAACGCTCAGCGAGGCAACCTTGTGACAGATCAGTGAGCATCCACCTAGACCCAAAGGAAAGTCCATTACTACAGTAAACGCTGCACATGGCAATGCTCCTGCCTCAGAACAGCTCCTCCTCTTTGAGCAATACAGTACTCCACTATGGTTCTGGCATGCCTCTCGACTGAACCACATAGGCAGAGCAACAAAATCGCCCTGGATACCAATATCTGGGCTCTACTCAAGCGGAAGACCTCTTCCCCAGGTGCTTCCTGCAGGCGAGCATCTCTTACCGCATGCTCTCCTGAACCCAAAGACAACTCGGGGTGGCCAATCTCTAATCATTTTATCATCTCCTGGATCATCTCAGAAGGCTTTCTTCAACAAATCCAAACACCCCAGTTTAGAGACCTAAGAGGATGTGCTAACTAGAGGCGATTCTAAAAGACATCATTAACTTGTGAATCCTGGCTGACCATGATGCCTCAAATGTGTTCATCTTCAAATCAGTACGATTTGGTTGGCTTTAGCCCAACCTCATATCCTCATATCAGACTTTCATCCATAAAACTAGAAATATTTATTTTCTCTGATGAGTTAATGTTTATTGTAGATCACATAAAAACAGGTCAGAGTATAAAGAAATAAATAATGAATAATGATAACCATGACCAATAAATTATTAAGGATATTTTGTCACTTAGGCTTATAGTCCCTTCACGGTAACTCTTGCACTCGGATAACCACACAATTCGTATTTATTTTTTATTTGAGAGTACAGGGTGCAACTACCATGATATTATCCTTACAAGTGTGTAACCACTCTTACTGTCCAAGGTAAGCACCCCACAGATAAGCATGTTCACTGTTTCTATGCAAAAACATAGGGTGATTCATTAATTGGAACAAAATAACACCTTACATTAATTCAGGCAAAGTTTTTCTCCCAAAGAAGTCAATGCGCACGCACGCAAGCACGCATGCATACACATACACACACCACCCCGAAAACCTTGTAAATTTAGAATTGAATTGTGGACCATTATTCTTTTCAGATATACAAACATACTTGGAGACTGTTTTCATAACTTTTTTAGTTAATTATGAAAGAAAATATTATACTTGTGTTATACAGTTATTAAATCATGCTTTAAAATATCTCTGCAATACTCCACAGAAACACATCTTAACCATTTCTCTGAAAGTGACACCTAAGAGAGCCATATGAGTTTCAGGTTGCCGTGGTTTCTGACTATTGCTGGGCTCTCTAGAAAAACAAATACAAGGTTGGCAATGTGAACTTCTAAGGTGTTCTGATGAGTTTTTTTTTCCTTTATTTTTTTGGAGATTTTATTTATTTTTATTTTATGTGAAAGAGTGTTTGCCTGAATGTATGTCTGTGTATTCTACTTGCATGTAGTGCCTGTGGAAGCCAAAAGATGGTATCAGATCCCCTGAGACTGGAGTTACAGGTGGTTGTGAGCCATCTTAGGTGCTGGAAATTGAACCTGGGTCCTTTGGAGCCACAGCCAATGTTCTTTGTTTCTTGCTAAAAACAAATCATTATTTTTTTTTATTTTTGAGGTTACAATTTATAACATTTCTCCCTTCTTTTTCCTCCCTCCAACCCCCCCACCCCTCCAAAAATTTCAAATTCGTGGCCTCTTTTTTCACTAAATGCTATTGTATAAGTGTATATACATATGTGCATGCACGCACGCACACACACTTATTCATTCTGGCTAATGCTACCTACAGGCACGTCTTCAGGGCTGTCGGCTAGGGTGCTCTTCCCTGGGAGGACCACTTTTCCCACTTCCAGTGTTCCTGAGATGGAACAACTGTACTCTGTCTATACACTCTACTTATTTGTCCAGCACATACAATAAAATGGCTAAGATTTGAGGACTCAGGGTGTGAGCCCTTTCAGTTATATTCTGATGAACTAAATTCATCTCTTCCAGCAGTCTTAAAGTCTGAATTGTTCTATAACGACAAGAAAGGCCCAAAGAACAAAGTTCTATCAAGAAATGGACTATTTGCTCACTGTGACTTCCTTTTTAACTGGGGAGACATTCTCCTGACAATCCGGAGTCTAAGTGGGTGGAATGGTTTCTAGAGGTTTTTCCTTGGCCAGGATCAGGTGCACAGTTAATTTGTGAGCCCATCACACTCATAGGGGATAAAGAAACAAAGTGATGAGAGGATCCTCAAACAGCAGACTTTGTTTCTCCTAATTGCTTGGGGCCAGAGAGGGAATAAAAAACAAAATTGCCACTAGTAACAGGAACACTTACCAGAAGCTCTTCAGACGCTGAGACTGTACAACTAGCATTTGCAAAGCTAATTACAAATCTGGATTCTCTCATTTTAAAAATATACTTCAAAGCCGCCCATGCTGAACCGAAGTCTGTGCAACTGGCAGATTATCAAAGTGTAAAAAAAAAAATTGCATCACTTGATTAAAGCAATAACTTTCAGTATCGCTAACTCCTGAACTGCAAAATGCCACAGGCCAAAAACCAGCAATGCCGCATGGTTGTTTTACCGTACATTTACAAGTTTCATAGGTTCCTAAGTCCTGAGAGACACAGCCCTCTGTGTCAGTGGCTTTGTTACGTGGGACAAAGGCTCTGCCTCTGAGCCTAACTCTTCACACAGGTTCTTCTTCTGATTAAATGAGGTGGAAAATATATACGGATATGTACATGTGTGAGCACACACACACATATTATTTTTCTTTGGTTTTGAAAACTATAAGACATACATTTAATGCTAAAAATCATCTTGCTTTTTATTAGCAGCATTGCCAGCCATAAGACTTCTAATCTCCACTTTACAGAGAAGGAAAGACACAGGAAGAGGTAGCTAATAAATGAACAAATAAATAAATAAGGGCTGGATAGTGTCTTGTTTCTCAGCTGGTCACAGAGTAGCTGAGTGGCTCTCTAGGTGTTGGTTTCTTGGGGAAACTGAGCTTTTTCAGGTCTTTTGGAAGCTGATGGTTCTGTCATATGGCTGATGGCCATACCAGTGTTCTGAGAACCTCTGGAATGACCCTTAGAAAGTGGTCCCTTCTCAAAGTCAGGCACCATGAAGCCAAAAGCACGGCCATCAATTTGAGGCCTGCAGTGTTGGGGAAACACCCCTGGGGGCCCTGATACCCTCAGGATGGGACAGATATTAGGTTACTAATTTTGTTTGGACTGGAGAAGGGGCTGAAGACCTTAAGGAAATGGTTAATGCCTCCGAAGCATCAGAAGATAGTGAAGGGTCTACAACCCAAGTCTTTGTCAACCCCGATACGTTACTACTGTAACAACTGGCACAACCAACCAAATTCACACAGCTGACTGCCGACTGCTTTACAATCTGACTGCCATCTGACTACCACTATCAAGCAGATTTGTGAAGGGGCCTTTTGTGTTATGTATATACTATGGTCAGAAAGGATGCCCTTAAAAGTCCCGGGGCCACACCAATTTAGGACCCTGTGACAATGGAGTCCTCAGCATTTCCACCTCCCAGTCCATCAGCCTCAGTGTGGCTACCAGGTACCTGGAACCTAGCTGGTATGGGTGAGGAATGGAACTTAACTGATTTAAAAATAAGTTAAGTATAAGTAGCTAACTATGGATACTGGACAATGCAGCTATAGGACCCTGGGTTTTGTGTTTTTTTTTTTTTTTTTTTTTTTTTTGAGGTCTTTCAGACCCAGTGGCCCCACAGGATAGCACCTAATGCCTTCATGGAGCCAGGAGGCTCTGTGAACTGTGTTGGTCTTTTGAAACAATGGTTATAAGAGAACCACGGTCACTCAGTGCCTTAATGGCGCTTTCCGGCGAGGTTTATTTCTGAGGACCTCACACGGGCAGTTCTTAGGAAAAGGTGGGTGACCCGCGGCGGCAGAACTAGACCAAGCATGACAGCAGTGCTTTTCATTTCTTCATATTTACTGTTACAAGAAGCCGGGGAAGTTCAGAAGTAGATATCTGAGTGGTTTCTATTCATTCATTTCCAAATAAAGGCGCACACTGCAAATATAGGAAATTATCTGTACATAATTCCCTCTTGCATAATCTTACATCCACTTGAAAGAGTCGGCAGGACCTGCGCTCCTCAGGTAGGAAAAGTAAATGGTATTTAATTACACAAACAGCCATAAAAATGTTCAAGTGTGTCTCCAGCTGCAACAGTGGGCAAGGGAACATTTGTGCCAATTAGCTGCGAAACGATTTGGTTTTCTGGAAAGTTGTATAGGTAAGGCTGATTGCGTTCTTTATCCCCTTCCGCTCAACGCTTAGCTAAGACGGATTTAGAGGGTTTAATAGCATGTGATGAGTTCTTTCCCAGGAGACTGGCAGGTCTTCTCACCCACACCATACACCTCATACTAGTAGAATCATTTGTTCAAATAGAAGGGTAGCTCTCTGCTCGTCTCGTTTCCAGTACTGCATCTCTGGCGTCCCTGCTGTTAATTTCCTCCTCTAATTTCCTTTTCCCACCTTTTTAGGATGCAGGGCGACACAAAGAACAGATAATGAAGTATCCAGCACATTGGTTCATGTCCGTGCTGAGCCTGACTCCATGTATGGCGGCCCCCACGTTTTAGGACTAAGTATTCTCAAGCTGATTCTTTCCCCTGTATCAATGTTACCTCATGAAATGAAAAGCTCACTACGCAAAAGAACGGAAGCTTTTCCAGCAGAGATGCTACGTGGAAGATTCTCGTAGGCTAAGGTAAGTTTTCTAGGGTCAGGATGCCACTTCTGTCCAACATCAGATTACTGGTTTTTAGAGCTAGTACCAGGACGCATCCCTAGTTACACAGAGACATACCCACACATTTCCCACCTCTGGATTGAGTGCCAAGAGAATGGATAGTGGTCAGGAAAAAAACAAAACAGTTTCAAGCTTAATTTCAAAACTAAAAATTACATTGAGAGACTCTTTTCTACTAAGCAATGTCAACTCTCAATCTGTTGGCCATGGATCACAATTTTTTTTTTTGGTAAAATGTTAGTTATAAGTTCACTGACAAACATATTTAGAGCTGTTCTAG